TGTCCTTGGAGAAAAGGCATTATTATTCGCTGATGACGCCAAAACATGGAAGACGGTAAAATACCCTGAAGATCAGGAAACCCTGCGGNTGCTGACGTTGTTGGTTGCATCTCCCACTGCCGACAATACTTGGTCCGAATGACCGATCTGCATGTTGTATTGCCGTTGAATGCGGTCATAAGGCAGAACGAATAGGACAACGGAATGGGTATACATCATACTTGGATACAGTCAAACCAATTTTACGATCGTGAGCATATGTTTGCACGGGGAATTTTGTTGTGAGAAAAACAGACTAAAGGGAAGAGACGTATTGCTCTATGATGCAAGCTTTTAGAACTTCAGCTATTCGCATGAAGAAAAGGGATTGATAGACGAAGAAATGCTTTTGAAACAACGCAGAATAAAAATTGGAAGTGTACAGAAAGAAGACACGTCATCCTTTATGCATATATACAATCGGAGATGGAAATTCTTGACACCAAGATACGTACACATCGTGCTTTTGTTACATAAGAGAAGCATGAAGGCGTTAGTGGAAATCGTTATGTATAGAGCGTATAAAGCGTGGTCTGGAAAGCTGGGGAACACTGTACTGCTGTTTCGACCTGATTGGGTCTTATCAGCAGTGCGAATCTATCGACCGCACCATGGATCGATTCCGGGAACCCACGAGTATAACGTTAGCACACTGCCCACTGGATCACCGTGCAGCTGGCCAAACCGCTGTTAATTTGGCTTACACAAGATGGTGTGCAACACACCTTCGCGGGCTCAATGCAGACATCACATCTATCATATTTATCATATCATTTCTGCTCTATCCTTCACGGTTATGATTCGATTGGAAACTGCCATCTGATAATATACTCACGATTCATTTGTTCTGAATACTACAGAATTCAATATATGTGAAACTGGTTAGAAGTCGAACTGTGAAGTAATTTCTTCAGCGCACAAAGTTGTATGTACTATGATGGAAACTTATGTTATCTGTCATTTTCCTACCTTGTGGGTGGCTTCTTTGCAAACAATTGAGGGTTCCTAGAAATCAGGTAGTTCATTCAATAATAATAAAGTCAGCCATGAGATGGAAAACGTATTCTCTGGCGTCACGTGTACACGATATTTATTTATTTACACGTCGGCACGTTATATATTGTGCACAAGATAAACTGTGCATGGATCAGAATGCCACTTTCACCCTCAATTCTTTTATCACTTTTATTGCCGTTTAGGGTTCCAGTCTACCCTGAATGCGGTGTTCGTTTAGCCCATATGAAATCAGCATCCGAAGTAAAACTAAATGTTAGTTTATTTTCATCGCTTTTGACCACAACAAAAATTTCTAATCATGATTAGATGAGCAATCATTGTATAAATTTGACCTTTTAACTAACCCGTGACCTTGGAGGTCTAATAAAGAGTGAATATTAGGGACTGCTTTTTTGGTCAAAAGTCAGACAACCATGTGTGAGACTTTCAACAATTTTATGTAAGGAATATATCTATTGTATCCAGCCAGATATTATTTATAGATATATGATATATATTAATATCATACTGCATATCTCTATGTATATTACTGCACTATATATATATTTTAATTACGGAAAGTGAAAACCCGCTTAAGTCCAGTAACAATTGGAATTCACAAAGATTGAGAACTTTATCCCGAGGCCGTCAGTATATTTACCGCATATATTGATCCAGGTAATCAAACGCCCAGAGCGGACAGGGTGCAAACCCTGAACGGAGCGAGAACAAGATTGAACAACCGCAAATAAAGGAAAAAATTCCGTTTACATGCTTTTATCGTTTGCAACCAACCAATTATTTCCTCGGTTGATTCATCATTCGATTTTGGACGTAAAACGAACATGCACAAGTCAAGTCCCATATATACTTTTTGCACCCCGCGAGGATAAATATCCAGCAGTTGCATAGTCAAAACAAAACCAATAAGCAGGTAAAATAACACCAGAATTGAGGGAGTGCAAGGATAAAACAAAACAATTCAGGATATGAGTGACGCGTTACGGGTTGTCAGAAAATTAGGCAGGATAAAGCACCCTGAGAGAGGGTTTTGCGAACAAATATACAGTTATAGCGGAACCTAGTGGATGAAGAGAGCACAGAATTTATAAGATGGAAAAGTTTGTTCATGGATTTTGTGGATAACAAAAGACATGACTTTGTACTTTGTGAAACGATGAAGTGACAGTGAATTTCGCGATTAATTACGCTACTTCTCTAGATAAATGTATTAAGGATTTGGAAAGCAATTTAAAGTCCTTCTTGAACATTCCTGGGAAGATTACAGGGGACGAAATGCCAGCAAAAAGAAAACGGTGGATCAGGAAGCGAGAGACGGATGAAACCTTTGGGTATATGACATAAAATGATAATTTTCTGAGCTTTTCAAATATGGAAACAGGTTGGTCAGACCAGTATAAATTTCGGCTGATTAACACACCAAGATACTTAACACTTATGAGTTGGACAATGGTATAATCACGTATGTTTAACATGGGACAGGATTCTAAGAGATTTACGTAACGGCTCCATCTGAGAAGTGAGAACAGTATGTACAAGCATCTAAAGGGACTGAGAGTTATGTATTGTGGACTACTCAGTAAGGTTACTAAAGCCATGTTGGAGGGTGGAGGTGACAGAGTTATCAGGTTGGGTGATTCTGACCACAACATCGTCCGCGTATTTATTGAGCAGGGAATTTTGAAAAGTAGGCATGGATGAAATATAAGTGGAAAAGAGAAATGGGGATAGAATGGCACCCTGTTATATGCCTAGAAATTAACGGAGAGGAGGAACGACCAAGGTAACGTGTGATCTGTGATCGGTTGGTGAAATAGTCTGTGAGTAGGCAGTTATATTATGTGATACCACACTGGAAGACAAAATATTTGACAACTTAGAATTGTCGACGCAATTGAAACTGCCGCTGTAATCCAAGACGTATATTCCGACAGTTTTCTTATTTCCATCAAGTACCGATAGAGTACAGTGGACAAGAGGATCCCAGGCATTTAGTGTGGAGTGAAAGCTGTGGTACACAAGTTGGTTAGGGTCCTGCCCATCCAGCAGAGATGACATTCCTTGAATAAGTAACTTCTCTAAAAGCTCCCAAAAACAGACGCAAATTCAATGGGACATAATTGCTAGATTCCCTTTATAGCCGCTAGAGTGATTGAAGCAGACTTCCAACAATCAGGTATAATTCCGTTTCCCAAGCACTGATTAAATAGAGCTGTGAGCACTGGTCAAAGTGTATGAGTGCACTCCTTAAGAATGGTAGCCTTCAACTGGTATGGACCGGGTAATTTATTGGGTTTGAGAATCAGCAACTTCTCCGGAACATACTCCTGTTGAATCGCGAACGGTTCTGTATCGCTGAGGTCGGTGTCTGTGCTGTCGATGACCGGACCCGCATTCCTGTTACTGGTTCCTTTATTAAATGTTCTATTTAGCCCCTCAACATCCATTGTTGTTCAACACACGATTGAGGATTTCCCACTTAATTGCTTGCTGGTGTTTCAGGTCTCCCGATACAGTTGGTTGTGCAGAAGTATGCAAGTGTAGGCGACATTCAGTCAATATAACACATCTTTGATAACAAGTGAGAAAAGCTTCACCGTCTGAAGATCTTTGCTTTGTACGCCCCCTTCTCGCTTCGGCGTAACTGTTTCAGATGAGGAAACGATATGCGGTTACAGTGAAGGCATAGTGTCTCCCAAGGATAGTAAATTTTGTCACATAAGTTGCGCGAACTACCGCCATAAAGGAATCTTAGCTACATGAGCACCAACAACCACGGTGATATAAATAATTCGCGCATTTTATCTATTTGTTCACTAAAAGCTTTGAATTTTTAGGAAATTGTTTTGATCACAAACAAGCAACATACAAGAGGATAAACGGAGTTTTCAAGAAACTCTGGCACAAATTGATTTCAAATACAAAGCTACTGTATAAGCACATCAGTGTTACCATAAATGTGAAATACGGAATACCGGCACTAAGTGTAATGATCGTAGTAGTAGTAGTAGTGGTAGTAGTAGTAGTCATATGCACTGAACTTGGAACACGAACCACACAACAGGAATCATAGGACACGAATCTAGGATCAGCTAAAACGGACTGGATGACGGAAGCACTGGACCGCAATGGTACGAGCTCGCAATATCCCACGTGACCGATACGCGAAGGAAAGGCCACAAGAATGGTAGTTCGTAGTTCGTTTATTGGAAGAAACGAATGTGAATAAATAATATGTACAAAAGAAGATCATTGGTTACCCAGGCTCCCATCAATCGCATTTCAGTATTGCTTGCATCATTCTGCTTCTGTCTGAACTGCACTGTCTCGGATTGGCTGGCACGATCTGCCTATGGCGTGTAGTCAGAAGCCTTGCGCGTGTCATTGACATCACCTTTCAAATTTGATTGACCGCAGGTGTCCAGAAACGCGCCGCTCTAGGATAGACGTCATCACGTAGGCCTGGATCACCACAACAAGGCACGCAGGATCCGTTTCCACTACAACTTCTGATGCAGTCGTACTCCTAAAAGTCCAGTTCTATGAAGTGTCCACTGCAGGTAACAAAGGCGAATTACATCTTCCACACCTTCTTTCAAGTGTCCCATACTCCCAACTGACCGTTGTCAAGTTCAAATCTGAAACGGTCAAAAATAAACTATTGGCGCTGTGTAGGAATTCATCTCCAGGGATAGACCATATCCGCCCCCAGACCCTGACGTCCTTGGCAAATTACATATCTGAAATAATTGCCCATTTGCACCAAAGAATGTTCGACAAGTCGAAGATCCCTCAATCCTGGAAACACGGCATCACTTCGCCTATTTACAAAGGTGGCTGCAGGATTGATCCTGCGAACTACCGTTCAGTTACACTTCTCCCTGCTCTGTCAAAAGTAATGGAATCGATTGTTTCTAATTCTCTGATGGATCATTCCGAGAAGCATGACATACTTTCGCCGGCCCAACACGGGTTTCGACTCGTGCACCACAAACCTGCTACTTGCATGAGATTAATAGACAAGATCAGTCGACGCAGGAGAGGCGGTAAATGTAGTCTACTTAGACTTCTCAAAAGCTTTTGACAGGGTTAGCTACCATATATTGCTGCGAAAGCTCCATAATTACGGTGTCCGAGGACTGCTACTGGACGAGATTGAGGAATTTTTCGACAACGGACCGTATCAGTTCGGGTTGATGGTTCTCTGTCGGGACCGATTGAGGCTGTCCGTGGAGTTCCACAAGGATCCGTACTCGGTCCGTACCTTTTCCTAGAATTGATAAACGACCTACCAGATGTCCTTGGAGAAAAGGCATTATTATTCGCTGATGACGCCAAAACATGGAAGACGGTAAAATACCCTGAAGATCAGGAAACCCTGCGGGAAACTCTCAACGCAGCTTACCGATGGTCCATCATTAATGACATCGAATTCAACGTTGAAAAATGCAAGGTTGTATCGCTGCGCCACAGGGGTCGCTTTCCATACTTACTTGGAACTCAACCATTGCCGCGTTTTCTAAACGAAAAGGACCTGAGAGTTATAGTTCGTGAGGATCTAGGATGTTCCACACATTGCGCAAGAGCGTTGTCAAAGGCTATAAAACACGTTGGATTGCTAAAACGTGTTTTGGGCCATTCGAAATAGACCTACTACCCCGTTTATTATCAGTATACATTAGACCACACCCCGAGTATGCTATACAGGCTTGGAATCCATGGCAGATTCGTGACCAAAAGGCACTTGAACGTCCGCAGAGAACAGCAACCAAAATGGTCAAAGGGTTACAATCTAAGACCTACGGTGAAAGATTGCGAATTCTCGGACTCTACTCGTCTGAATACAGTCGAATAAGGGGAGATATGATCCTCGTTTATCAAATACTACATCAGCCTAACCACCCGTGTAGTACTTTACTAACACCATCCCGGAATGGTCACCTCCTAGGACATCCGTTTAAACTTCTGCTTCAAAAGAGTCGGCTAGACTGCATGCATCATTCTTTCGGCCTCAGAGTTTGTAAAGCCTGTACTGTCTTCCACTTAAAGTTATTTGTGCCCCAACCATCGATTCATTCAAGTCACGTCTGGAACAAAGATTGAAACACCTAACTTTTCAGTGCCTGTGAGAGAACGTCAGAATTTGCTATTCAGTTGTACTACCAACCGAACCCAGTATGTACAGATCCTGTGGGATTCAATAAGAATCAGCTTTGTAATTTACCAATCATAAAAATTTGAATTTGAACTAACCCATAATGGTAGGCTGCTCCATGTTAACCGGACGATAACCCCTCCTCTCACAACCTCTTCATCGTTTTAACTGACATTGAGTTTGACTGTTGGATGTTTTGTGTAGGAATGATGAAATGATGTATCTATCAACCTGCTCTAATTTAAGCTAAATTTCGGTATTTCACACATTGATGGTGATAGTGAACATTTCTCGACTATTACAACCGAGTTGGGTATCAAAACACCCGACGTGAATTGATTTCTACTTCTCCAGTCATTGTTGTCAGTTTTGTCAAATCGAATTGCACCCCATACGCTTGCGTCTTGATAACCACAGTGAAAAAAGATTGCTCTATGTTTCTGTAACTGTGGTACAAACATAGGACAGAAACATTTAAAAAATCTATCATGGTGTATGAGGCTATGTGCTCGGGGAACGCTGTCTGGTCAAGCTTGCGATGACAGCCACAAGTGGTCGGCTGATAGTTGTCCAGAAAAACAATATCCATACGACCGTAATCAATGCACATACAACTGCTGCGGTGGATAGACTGGAGGCGATCGCATTCTGTCTGATTGCAAAGTAAGTATTGACGAAAGTTCCTTCGGTTCCTGGGTACGATCCGGGGGAAGAGATGGAGATATTTTTGATAGATATTGAATGGTTGATGCAAGCAGTACAAAAGCACAGATTCCGACTTTTTCAAACAGATTGTAGCATTAGAATATTTATAGTAATAAAATATACAATTTTGCTGGTACTACTATGACTTCTGTTAATAATATTACTCATACTCATAATACTAACGGTAAGAAACCAATTATGAAAAGATAGTCAGCCTCAATGGGTTTTGAACTCCCGCAACTACACTGCCTTTCTTTCTTTAAATGGATACTAAAGTGCATAAACAATAATCATAAAATTAGACGGTGTCAATTCAAAAGACTGCTACGGATAAAATGAATTAGAGACGTTAAGTGGTGTGAATTTACTAGCGACCTATCCATTGATCTGCGGACGCAACACTGCCTGGTTTACCAATCGAAAACAGTGAATTTTCCTAGTGTATTGAACATGCTGATGACGTTTTTCTTCTCTTCCTCAAAAACATTCTCACACTGCCTTCTTTGACACTCGTGCTATTTTTTCAACCGCTGTGAATTGAACAATAGTCAGGGAGTTTCACTTGGTCTAATATGGCTTAACACGCCCAGTACGTTATTGGATGTCTACTTATCAGACTGAATGGAAACTTTTGGATCTGAGGCCACTGAACCATAACTGGTGAAGGTAGAATAGTCAGAAATGAAATGTGCTTCAAAAAGTTAAACCGAAGTGTGAACGCAACAGCTTATGCTGAATAAAAACTCACACGATTTCTGTTCGTTGACTGCCGATCCATTACTCGTACACAGAGGCTCGACTGAGTAGCTGTTCTTCGATCATCTGCTCTGCTGTTTCTGAAGATTGCCCCCATACCAAGTGGACCTAAGTTTAGGCCACTCGCGCCAATAATTACCTGTCTTCTTACCCTGTATTATAACTACAACAGTATACTCTTAGGCAGACTCTCTGTCATCTGACTTAATACCACTCTCATCCTAGTGGATCCTTATGTGGTTCACCATTTCCACTTGCAGAGCTTGTGTTGCTCTTCAAACCTGAGTGAACAGTAAGTGGGCCCCCGTCACGGTGGAGTTTATCAGTTCGTCACACAATTGTGTGTAATAAAAAACGGGCATGGAAATGCAAATTTGCGCAAGAAACCCGCCCAACGTTCGCTAATTTGACATGGGAAAATTATGCGTGAATCATTATCATTCAATAAGTTCTGCAAACTTGTGTGTTCCTTTTCTGTTATGAGATTTGCAACTTTTGCGGTGCACTTTGAGTCATAGACGATAAAAACTCAGGATTCCGAGGAAAACGGTATTTACTAACAAGAGAATGGGCAAAAGATATCCCGTAGATGAAACAACCCGATCAGTTGATTGACATAAACACATGAACTTACTCGCACACGGATGTTCGGCACAACGCGCATACTCTATCGGGGAGCCGATACACTCTCGCTTAACAGCCACATCATCTTCCATGCTTCGACAGTCTCGTGTCCGAACTGCATATCGCAAATCACCACAAGCCGGACGACATTTATCCCACGGGGACCATTCGGACCATTCACCAACCCAATCCGAACACATTTTCCCG